GCTATACCTGAGCCCATTGCTGCAGCTACTGTGCCACTCCATCTTGTCGAGGGCCTTTGCCTTTTTTGTTGACCCTCCACTTTACCAAGCATGATACCCTTCTCCAGGGAATGGTCCCTTCTGACAACATGACCAAAGTAGGTGAGATGAAGTCTGGCCATTCTCGTTTCCAAGGAACATTCCAGCTGCACTAACTTCAGGACAGATTTGTTAGTTATTTTAGCAGGCCATGGTACTCTCAGTATTCTTCACCAACACTGCAACTCAAAAGCATCAACTCTTCTTCAGTCTTCATTATTCATTGTCCAGCTCTCACATGTATATGAGGCAATTGAAAATACCATGGCTTGTGTCAGTGCACCTTAGTCCTCAAGGATACATCTTTGCTCTTTAGCACTTTAAAGAGGTCTCTTAAAGCAGATTTGCCCAGTGCAATACATCATCTGATTTTTTGACTACTGCTTCCATTGGTATTGATTGTGGAACCAAGTAATATGAAATCTTTGACAACTTTAATCTTTTCTCTATTTATCATGATACTTTTTATTGGTCCAGTTGTGAGGATTTTTGTTTTATGTTGAGATGTAATCCATACTGCAGACTGTAGTCTTTGATCTTCATCACTAAGTGCTTCAAGTCATCTTCACTTTCAGCAAGCAAGGTTGTGTCATCTGCATATCACAGGCTGTTAATGAGTTTTCCTCCAATCTTGATGCCATACTCTTCTTCATATAGTCCAGCTTCTCATATCATTTGCTCAGCATACAGATTGAATAAGTATGGTGAAAGGATTCAACCCTATGCACTCCCTTCCTGATTTTAAACCATGCAGTATCCCCTTGTTCTGTTTGAATGACAGCCTCCTAGTCTACATAAGTTACCATTACTTCTGCCTTTTCACTTATCTTTCCCTACTTCACTCAAGTTATCAACACCCCTTCTTTTTATCTCCTCCTCTTCCACACGAGTTCAAGCCACCATCACATCTCACCTGGGTTATGCAATAGTCTCCTAACTTGTCTCTCTGCTTTTACTCTAACCATTGCAATTCAGGCTTCAAAGAGCAATAAGAAATATGTTTTAAAATATAAGTTTGAACTCTCATACGTTGCTGGTGGGAGTGTAAAAGGTATACCCATTTGGGAAACTATTTGGCAGTTTCTATTAAGTTAATCATACAGTCTAGGAATTCCACTCTTAAGTTTTTGCCTGAGAATTGAAAGCATAAGCACAAAAGATTTATACAAGAATCTTTATAGCAACCTTATCTTTAAGAGCTAAAACCTGGAAGTGACTCATATATCCATTAACAGGCTAATGGATAAAAAATTGAGTAATATTCATACAATAGAAAACTGCACATCAATCAAAAGGAAACTCCTGATAAGTGCAACAACGTAAGTGAACCCCAAAAGTATGATGTTGAGTGAAAGAAGCCAGACATAAAAAAATCTGTATGATTTCATTTATATTAAGTTCAAGATGAGGTGAAACTAATTCACAGTGGTGGTAGAAATCAGAATAAGGATTGCCTCTGGGGCAAGGATGAGAGCAAATGTCTGGAAAGGAGAATGAGGGAACTTTCCAGGGTGATGGAAAAGTTCTATATCTTGATTGGGGTGTTGGTTACATGAATGCATATTTGCCAAAATTAATCGAACTGCACACTTAAAATCTATGCACTTGCTGTACACATATATTTTTAAAAGTGTTATAAAAATGTGATTGGGCAATCTACTTCTGTAGTGATACTGCCTCGGCAACCCAAGGAGGGGTCGCTATGAGTCGGGTCTAACTTGATGGCACTTAACAACAACAACAACATAAAAATGTGAATCAGCTATAGGAGACATCATAGGCTTTAAAATGGGGATAATATTACTACTCACGGCACTGTTATGAAATCTAAATGAGATAATATATAAAGTACTTAGAAAGAGATAATATATAAAGTGCCTAAAATGTATTAAGTACTTGATGTTAGCTATTATAATGATGATAATGTCATTCCTCTCCTAAAACCTCCCAAATGGCAAAGAACAAAATTCAAACTCATTATCCCAACCAGAAATTCCTATGTGATCTGGAGTGTGCCTGTCTCTTCAACCTCCTCTCATATCATTATCTCCCTCTCTCACTATAGTGTCTCCACTCTGGCCTTCTTTCTGTTCACTGAACAATGTCCAGATCATTCTCATCTTGAGGTCTGTGTTCTTGCTATGCTTTCAGCTTAGAAGACTCTTGCCCCAAGTCTTCATGTGGCTGGCTTCTTTTTTCAACCCAGGTCTCAGATGAAATATTATCTATTTTAAGAGGCATTACCTGAACATTTTATCTCTTTGTTAATTTTGTCTTCTCCCAGAGACACTGTAAGTCTATGAAGCAGGAAGCATGTCTGACTTGTTCACAGTTGTATTCTCATTATGCAGAACAATGGCAGACACCCAGTAAATATTTCTTAAATGAGTAAATAATTTCTAGGTTTCTGATTTGTGCAAGTAGATGTATAGTATGCATTCATTTGCTAACATAGGAACACTGAAAAAGTTTGTATGGAGGAGATCATGTTACAATTTACATTTTTAAACATCAGTCAAAGCAAATGTTAAACTGAGCATGTAATTGTTGTTGTTGTTGTTATGTGCCGTTGAGTCAGCCCTGACTCATAGCGACCCCTCCTTGGGTTTGCGAGGCAGTATCACTACAGAAGTAGATTGCCCAGTCTTCCTTCCGAGGAGTGGCTGGTGGGTTTGAACCACCAGCTTTCTGGTTAGCAGTCAAGTGCCTTAGGCACTATGCTACCAGAGCTCCCGAGCATGTAATTAGAAACATCAAATTTTAGGGTTAAAAGGAACTAAGGTGTCAAGTATTCCACTCCTCTGTCTCTGGAAAAAGACTTTTTTTTTTAGAGTGTCCCAAAGCATCCCCATCAGCAATCCTCTCTCAGTCATGTTTTTAATCTCTAAACTGTAAATGAAAAAATTTTCTTAATGTCTACCCTTATAATTCAAGCCCATGTCATCTAGAGAATAATACAAGTCTCACCATTCTTCAAATTTTAGTGCATGAAAATTATTATGCTACTGGAGGATTTCTCTTCTCAGGCTATTGCAAATATGTAAATCCTTTCCTCCCCTCACCAAAAGGTCTATAACTCAAATTCCAAATTATAGAATCAATACTTATATAGTTATTTAAGTTTAATGTCTTTTGAAAAAAAATCCTTTGTTGAGTTTACAAAAGAAAAAAAAAAGTTAAACAGTCTAACAAATCCTACCTTCGTTTGCAAATCAGGAACCACAAAGCTGATGCCAAAGCAAAGAAACCAATTCCCAAAATAACAGCACCAGCAGCCAGAAAATAGGTTAAGTAGTTAAAGAAACCTATACAAATAAATTATAAAAGAATATTTCATGCATGTATTTTCATTCTCTAGGTAAAATTAAATAATATAATATTTCAATTTATATAATATAGTGTAGTGTTAAGACATTAACCAGGAGGTTTGGAGACCTGAAGTCTAGTCCTATGCAATTCTAATAAACTTTGAGGCCCTGAGTTAGAGACTTACACAGGGTCTCCTGCTGATTAGGGCCTCAGGCACACTTTTCTGACCCTGCCAGGATCTAAGACCTATGTTTTGTTTGATTTTATAACAGCGGCTACCTCCTTCTTTTCCTATCTGTTTTTCTCCCTTCGCAGTCAAGCTGTGGATTTTTTTTTTTTTTTTTTTTTTGGTGCTATTTCCCCAGCATCATTTCTTCCAGTCCACCAACATAATACATTTTTCATTTTAAGAGCTGTATTATCTGTCACTACAAGGAGGCAGATTAGGGTAAAAAAATAACACACCTGAGGAATTTTTAAGATCCTAGAAATCTTAATAAGTTTTACGTCTATTTTATCTCAGGAGCAGCAAAAGATCATGCCCAAAAGTTAAATTAAAACAACATAAAATAATAGCAGGTTTAATAACTGGGTAAGTCTACAGGAATAATGTGGTATACCCCCTTCATTTTACAGTTAGTAAAACTGAGGCCCAGGTAGGAGAAGTGACTGAACTAAGGTTGCACAGTAAATTAAAGCCAGTTCTGACTTTTCTACCCATGCTACCAATTAATACTAGTATGTATTTAAAAGAATGAGAAAGAAACCACGAGGTGATTATAGTCAGGTTGTTCAAGCTTTCATTAATATTCTGAGATCTGCTACCTAAGCATAAAATAAGCTGCAAAAATCTTTCACAAAATATTGTGTAAAATCTGGAGGAATTAAGACAATTTAGGAATATATCATTTGGAAAAAAAAGGTTCAGAAGTGTAAAAACAATTGAAGAGTTTTCTTGGTGAATATTTTATCAAGCTCCGCTAAGGATATGACACGACAAAGACCTTGTTGTTTTTGTACTTTTTTTTTTTCCCCCCAAGCTTATAAGATGGTGCCTTTCAAATCTTAAACATTTTTTGGATTCAGAAATTTCTACATTCAGGAATTAATTAATGATACAAAAAAGATATATAAATGGAGGACGTTATGCTGAGTGGAATAAGTCAATCACAGAAGGACAAATATTGTGTCAGTTCACTGTTGTAGAAAGTCAAGGAAAGGTTTATATATGGAAGGAAACTTTCTTTGTTATTTACCAGGGAGGGGAGCGGGGGGAGGGGACACTGCTAGACAGTTAGAGACAAATATTAATTTGGGTGAAGGGAAGAGCAATGTACCAAAAATGAGTGATCAATACGGTGGCACTGAGGAAGAGGAAGACACAGAGAGGAACATGGGAGGTACAGACAACAAAGACGAACCTTTTTGCATGTACAATACTGCATTGTCAGTGATGGCAAACATTGATCTATGGGTGGATAGATGGGTGAACAGGTTGAATGATCAGTTATGTCTAGGTGGGAGGAATGTGCCCATGACCATATATAGACTTGGTAGATGATGTTTCTACATGCATATTTGTAGGTGCTATAAGAATGTTCTGGTAGCATAGTGGCTAAGGCACTTGACTGCTAACCAGAAGGCTGGCGGTTCAAACCCACCAGCCACTCCTCAGAAGGAAGATGGGGCAATCTACTCCTCGGCAACCCAAGGAGGGGTCACTATGAGTCAAGTCTGACTTGATGGCACATAACAACAGCAACCACATAAGAATGTTCAGGTTTGTAGTAGAGCTGACAAGTGGCAAGGTTGTGGTGGCTTCTTGGCCACAGCCAGCTACCCAGAGGGAGTGAGGAGTTGGACCAGTGGGCTTGGGACCATGGTCGCAGGGGTCATCAATCTCAATTGGCATAACATACTACACAAAAACATTGTTCTACATTCTACTTTGGTGAATAGCAACTGGGGTCTTAAAAGCTTGCAAGCAGCCATCTAGATGTGACAATGGGTTTCTCCTCAGCCAGAGCAACGAAGAATGAAGAGAACCAAAGACACATGGAAACAATTAGTCCAAGGGACTGGTACACCATGTGATCTTCAACTTATCTGACCATGAGACCAGAATAACTAGATGGTGCCTGGCTACCACTGTCACCCACTTGGAGGGGTATCAGTACAGGAGATCCTGGATAGAGTGGGAGAACAATGTGAAACAAAACTCAAAATCATTTAAAAAAAAAAAGTTTGCTGGTCTGCTAGAGCCTGATGAGACCCTGAGACTATGGTCCCTAGTTACTCCAGTGGCTTCCAGTCAAACAATAGACAGATACATGAGGTGAACATTTATTTTACATCACAATAGGTCAATCATGGTAGAACAGAAGGGCAGTGTTTATACAAGGGGATAGCTGGGGGGGTGGGCAGGAGTGCAGGAGAGGGAAGGACACAGGGAAGAGGTAACTACAAGAAGGAAGTGGGGAGAGAGCTGTTACATTGTGGTGAATTGAAGTCAATATCATGAAACAAAATGTGTATGAACTGATGTATGGAAAATGAATTTGCTCTGTAAACTTTCACTCAAATCACAACAAATTTTTTTAAAAAAGATGTATAAGGCTATTTGTCAAAGTAATACTTAGCGACACCCCCTTGGGCTTCCAAGGCGGTATCACTATGGAAGTAGATTGCCTAACTTTCCTTCTGAGGAGTGGCTAGTGGGCTTGAGCCACCAGCCTTCTGGTTAGCAGTCAAATGCTTTAGGCACTATGCTACCAGAGCTCCTATAATACAAAATAAGTGAAGTTAAATAAGTTATAATGATGTTATATACGAAAAATTTAGAATAATTTAAACAGAGTTTCTCAATCTCAGGACTATTGTTATTTTGGACTAGATAATTATTTGTTGGGGAGGATTGTTCTTACAGATGTTTAGCAGCATCCCTGGCCTTCACTGCTAGATACCTGTAGCATTTTCCTTCTTCCCAAGTTGTGACAACTGAAAATGTCTCCAGACTTTACCAAATGTACCCTGAGGCACAAAAATGCCCCTTGTTGAAAACCACTTATTGATTTAGCAGATAAGAAAATACTAATACAGCTATTGGTCTCTACTTGCCTGGAACAAAAGAGCATGAAGGAAACCAAAGACAAAGAAGAAACTAGTCTACAAGACTAATAGCTTGTGTGAACTACAGCCTCATCTATCCTGAGACTGGAAGAACAAGGTGGTGCCCAGCTACCACTACCTACTATCTGATCAGGTACACAATAGATAGGATGAGATAGAATGGAAGAACATTGTACAATAAAACTCAAATTCTTAAAAAAAAAAAAAAAAAAAAGGCCAGACTTACTGGGCCAGTAGAGACTAGAGGAACCCAGAAACTATTGCCTTGAGATACCCTTTAAACTATGAACTGAAACCAATCCCAAAGGTACCTTTCAGCTACGTAAGATTGGTTCATAAAATAAACACTACTGACCATGAGGACTGTGCTTTTTTTGGGGAAAAAAAAAATCTAGCTAACACCAAATGGCCAACATTTATTTACCCTAAGCAAAGATGAGAAGATCAGTGGTGGCAAGGAAGCTAGCTAGGTTAATGGAAATGGAACAACCAGAATGGAAATAATGATAATTTTGACACAATGTGGAAAATATAACCAACGTCACTGAATGATATGTATAGAAATTGCTATATAGGAACCTAATTAAGCTTCTTTGTAAGCTTTCAGAAAAACACAATAAAATATATTTTTTAAAGAAAGAAAATACTAAATCATATTAAATAATAAAAAGAAGATATGGAGAACCTATTTTTTTTTTTAATTAAAAAGACATAGTTGCACTCAAATACAAGACAAGGATCTCTATGAAAAAACAAAACCATAAAATAAACACAGAGAATTAAATAGGGGCTGAAATCATGTGTCTGCTGTGTTCTGGAAGTGGGAATTAGCCAGAAGGAGCAGAAAAGGTCATCAAGATAGATCTGTCTTTGGGCACAATGAGTGACTCTATATTGCCAAAATATTGAGAGAAGTAGATCCTAAGCCACCAACAAAAGACCAATTAAAAAAAAAAAAGGACCAATGACAAATTGTGGAAATGAAAAATTAAAAAAAACTAAAATATAAATGGATTCAATAAAGGACATTTATGAAAAACCCACATCTAACATCATATCCAATGGTGAAAGAGTGAAAACTTTCACCCTAAGATCAGGAATAAGACAAGGAGGCCAGCTTTTACCATTGCTATTCAATGTTATACTGGAAGTTCTTGGAAGAGCAATTAGGTATATAAATAGGAAAGAAAGAACTGAAACCATCTCTTGCAAATGGCATGATCATATATATAGAAAATCCCTAAGAATCTAAAAAAAAAAAAAAAAAAAAAACCTACTAGAGCTAATAAACAAAAGTCAGCAAAGTTGGAGGTATAAAATCAACACACAAAAATTGTGTTTGTATATACCAGCAAAGAACAATCCAAAAAGGAAATTAAGAAAACAACTGCATTTACAGCAGAACCCAAAAGAATAGAATATCTAGAAATAAATGTAACCAAAGAGGTGAAAAACTTACATACTAAAAGCTATAAAATATTTCTGAAAAAAACTAGGGAAGACTTAAATAAATGTAAAGACATGCTGTGTTCATGGGGTTGGATTTGAAAACTTTGTAAAAGTTGGATTCGAAGACATTTGTAAAAATGTCAATACTATGCAAAGTGATCTACAAATTTAATGTGTTCTTGTTGTTAGGTACTGTTGAATATGATCTGACTTATAGCAGCCAGGACTGTCTATTGTGATACTGATTAAAGCTGGCCCTCTACTTTAACAAGCATGATGTGCTTCTCCAGGGATTGGTCTCTCCTGATAACATGTCCAAAATATGTGAATTCAAGTCTTGCCATCCTCTCTCCTAAGGATTATTCTGGCTGTACTTCTTCCAAGACAGATTTGTTTGTTCTTTTGGCAGTCCAAGGTATATCCAATATCCTTTACCAACACCATAATTCAAATGCATCAATTTTTTCGTCTTCTTTATTCATTGTCCAGCTTTCACATACGTATGTTGTTGTTGTTGTTGTTATGTGCCTTCGAGTCATCTCTGACTCATAGCGACTCCTCCTTGGGTTTTATAAAGTGATTGAAAATACCACAGCTTGGGTCAGGCACACCTTTGTCCTCAAAGTGACATTTTTGCTTTCAGACACCTTAAAGAGGTTTTTTGCAGCAGTTTTTCCCAGTGCAATATGTCATTTGATTTCTTGACTGCTGCTTCCATGGGTATTGATTGTGGGTCCAAGTAAAATGAAATCCTTGACAACTTCAATCTTTTTCCCGTTTATCAGAATGTTGCTTATTGGTTAGGTTTTGAGGACTTCATGTTGAGGAGTAATCCATACTGAAGTCTTAGACTTTTATCAGTAAGTGCTTTCAAGTCCTTTTCGTTTTCAGCAGGTAAGTTTTCGTCATGTGCGTATCACAGGTTGTTAATGAGGCTTCCTCCAATCCTATGCCGCATTTCTCATATATAGTCTTCCTTGTATAGTCCAGCTTCTCAGATTTTTGCTCAGCATATAGATTGAACAAATATTATGAAAGGATATAACCTTGATGTACAGTTATAAACATCTTTCTGATATTCTCTACTTTCAGCCAAGACCCATCTGACATCAGCAGTGACATCCCCTGTTCAATGTTCTCTTCAGAATCCACCTTGAATATCTGGCAATTCCCTGTCAACAATGCTGCAACAATTTTCATTATCTTCAGCAAAATTGTATTTGCCTATGATAGTAATTATATTAATTAATGGATGTTATAAGAGACTCTGAAACTAGATTAGCCAAAGTGAATTGAAGAAATGATGAAGTAAAAGAGCTGAACAGAAGATTCCAAAGGGTAGTTCAAGAAGACAAAATATTATAAGGAAATGTGCAATGACGTAGAAAACAAAAAAGATGTTCATTCTACTGTACATAGGGTTGCTATAAGTCAGAGCTGACTCGATGGCACCTAACAGCAATACAAAATCCTCAAGGAGCCGTGGGGGCATAGTGAGTAAGGTATTTGGCTGCTAACCAGAAGAATGGCGATTCAAACCCATCAGCTGCTAAACAAGAGGAAGATGAAGCAATGCACTTCTGTAAAGATTTACAGCTCTTGAAACCTAATGGGAGTTGCTATGAGTCCAAATTGGCTTGATAGTGGTGAGTTGTTTTATTTATTTATTTAAATAGTATCCTCTGAGTTTAGAAAGTGGACAAGTTATTCGAGAAATGATAGTATGTTCGGTGAGTGAACAACAGGCACCAGGCTAGATGGTAATATTATAAAAATGAATAATACAAAGTTTTTCTCTTGAGGAAGTTTGTTGTTTACTAGAAAAGACATACATGCGCAAAAATAGGTGCAATAAAAAGGTGTTATAATGGGAGAAATAAGTACAAAATATAGACATAGGAAGATAGGGAAAAATTAAAAAGAAAAGGCTCCTTAGTTCAGGTAAATATTGCTTAAAAATTTCTATTGCCAAACCCTCGCCAAGAGTCACTGGAACCGGTGATTAACAGACAAGTAACATATGATCATGGAGCTTACAATACGGAAGGGCTCAAGACATTTAAACAATCTGTTCATTAACATATTCTATGATAAAATATCGGAAGGAAGGTTGGGCAATCTACTTCCGTAGTGATACAGCTTCAGAAAAGTATACACTATGACAATGACTTGCTCATGGTGCTAAGATACCAGAGGCAGTTTGATTGTTTATAGTTGGTATCTGCTATGACTGGGTATAAGTCTAATTGGGCCTATTTTGGTTGGATTTCAGTTTTCTCATCTCAATCATACTATCTATTTCACAGAATCCCTGTAAAGAATAAAGAAGATAATTTTGTAAGGAATTAATAACATAATGAATGAGAAAACATCTTTAACTTAATATGCCTATGTCAGGCCATATTAAGTCCCAACATATTTTATAAAAGCATTATTGTACATACCACCTCATCTGACAAAAATAAAATTAATTTCAAAATTGATAACAAAAATATATCCTAAAAGTGCCTCTATACTTGGGGAAATTTAAAATTACTCTAAATAATTCATGCATTGAAAGAGAAATCAATGGAAATTAGAAAATAAAGAGAGTTAAATAATAATAAAAGCACTATATATAAATACTTGCAGGGATGAAATTGGAGCCAAATTTAAAGGGGAAATATATAGCCTTAAATGCATATATATGAAAGGAAGGCTGAAAAATAATGACCTTAGCATCCAAATGACAAGTTGAAAAAGGCCAACAAAATGAACCTAAAGAAAGTGGAAGAAGAAAATAATAAAGAGCAAAAATTGATGAAAAGAAAATTAAGATCCCTCTTAAAGACTAATAAAACTGATAAATCTCTTGTAAGATTAATCAAATGAAAAAGAATTGAAAACAGTAGTACAAACAGTAGTACACCGATGTTCACTGCAGCAATGTTCACAATAGCCAAGATGTGAAAACAGCCTAAATGTCCACTGCTATGAATGGATAAACCAAATGTGGTACATACATACAACAGAGCATTACTTAGTCATACAGAGAAATGAAGTCCTGATACATACTACAAGATGGATAAACCTTGAAAACATTATGCCGAGTGAAATAAGTCAGTCATAAATGGGTAAATATTGTATGATTCCACTTATAGGAAATATCTAAGATAGGCAAATGTACAGAGATCAATGAGAAGCTCACTAGTTAGGGCACACCGAGCTTCTGTTAAGAGTCATGGGAAAACTTGGAAGCGGATAATAGGAATAGCTGAACAACATGACAAACACAACTGAATTTTACACATAAAGAATGTTGAAAAGGCAAACAAACACTATTTACCATAATAAAAAAAAGCTTAAAAAAAAGACATAAACAATATTAAAAATGAAGAAAACAACTACAGATACAGCAGAGATCAAAATAAGAAAATACTTTGAACAAATTTGTTAATATATTTTTTAAACTTACACAAAATGATATATACCTAAAAAATGGCTTACAAAATGATTCAAGTAGTAACAGAAAATCTAAATGAACATGTATCCATTAAATGGAATCAGTGGTTATAAAATTTTCCCCAAAGGAAAAAAAAAACAAAACCAGGCCCCAATAACTTTACAGTTCCTACTGTATACCCATGATTCAAGTATTTCTTATCTTATACAAGCTCTTCCAGAGAATAAAAAGAGATCCCTAGCTGTTCGTCCAAATACATTTTCCTCTTCTTGACAGACTAAAAGCTAGACTACTTTTCCCAGCTTCCCCTACCATTAAATGAAGCCATGTGACTGAGTTCTAACCAATGGAATTTGAGTGCAAGTGATGTCATAAAAACCTCTTAAGCATCCTTCTCCAAGGTCTTTCTCTTGGACTTGGCTGACTTAGATAGAGATGATCCCCAGGGAAACTTTGGAAGTCATGTGCCATCAATCAGTTGAACCTGACATATTTACAGCACATTCAACCCAGCAACAGCAGAATGCACATTATTTTCAAGTGTACTCGGTACATTCTCCAATATAGAAAAATAGTTGAAAACTCAATACATACTTTGGAATTATCCATGGGTAAAAAGATGAAGCTCAAGGGGAAAAAAATATTTTCAATGGAAATAAAATGAAAACATAATGTCAGAATTCATGAGATGCCACTAAAGGAATACTTAGGGAAAAATCTATAACAAACAGAGCCAATGTTAGAAAAAATAAGTCTCAAGTCAATGATCTTCATAACAAGAATAAGAAGAGGAAATTAACCTCAAAAGAAGAAGAAGAAGAAGAGGAATATCACTGAATATAAAATAAAATAATAGGGAAAAATCAATGAAACCAAAAGCTGGTTCTTTCAGAAGATCAATAAAATTGATAAACTAAACTGATCTAAAAATTACCAATATCTGTAATTACCAATATCAGGAATGAGAGAGGTATCATCACTGCAGATTCTACAGATATTAAGAGAATAATAAGGCAATAATCAAAAAACCAAACTAACTGCCAGCAAGTCGACTCTGACTCATAGTGACCCCTTCCTTGGGTTTTCGAAGCGATATCTGTAAGGAAGTAGATTGCCCAATTTTCCTTCCAAGGAGTGCCTGGTGGGTTTGAACCACCAGCCTTCTGGTTAGCAGTCAAATGCCTTAGGCACTATACTACCAGAGCTCCTAATAAGGCAATAGTATGAACAATTTTATGCTGATAAATTCAACAATTTAGATGAGATCGATAAAACTCCTTGAAAGCCACAGATTTCCAAAGCTATCTAAAAAGTAAATAGATAACATAAATAGACCTATATCTATTAAAGAAATTGAACAGTCGAGGTTCACATCTAATTTAGTGTCTCTGGAGCACAGAGCTGGAAAAGGAGAGAGATAAAGCTGGTGAGGAAAAGCAAGGCCCAGACCCTGGAAGTCTCCATAAAGACTTCAGACATTCTGAGAGCAAGGGCACATGAGACCCTGGTTCTACTTCTAGCTTGTAAAGTAAGACAGAGAAATCTTTTGACGTCTGGGGCAGGAGTGGGGATAAGGTTTTGAACTTGTAGTTATTACAAACAAAACTCCATGCCTGATGGCTTCATTGATGAATTCTACACACACTTAAATATAAAAATAATAATAATTCTACAAAAATACTTAACAAATTTGAAGAGACTACTTGCCAACTCATCTTATCAGGCTGGCATTATCCTGATAACAAAACTGGATAAGAAAATTATAAACAACTCTCATGAACATAGATGCAAAGATTCTAAACAATATTTTAGCAAATTAAATCCAACATTACCTTAAAAGTATAATACATCAAGACCAAGTGATGTTTATCGTAAGAACGTAGGTTTTTAAAACAATAAAAAAAAATCAGTACAATTCACTATATTAAAAAATTAAGAATAAAAATCCATATAATCAATATAGGTCTACATCATTAGACAGAAAAGAAAATTGACAAAATTCAACATCCATTCCTGATTTTAACAATAATAAAAACTCTCAGCAAAGTAGGAATAGAAAGGAGCTACCACAAAGTGATAAACGTCATCTATAAAAAAAATATGATACTTATTGGTGAAAGACTGAATGATTTCCTCTTAGGATTAGGAACTATACAGAGATGTCCACTTTCCCTATTTATATTCAATATGACATTGGAGATTCTAGCCAGTGTAAGCAGGAAAGAAAAAATATAAAAGATCTCTACCTTACAAAGGAAGAAATAAAGATTTATCTTCACAGAAAACATGATCATTTATGCAGAAAATCTTGGGTTTACAAAAAAAAGAAAATCTACTAGAACTATTAAATGAATTTAGCAAGATTTCAGTATATAAGCCCAATATAGAAAAGTCAATTGTATATCTAGATGATATCAAGGAACAATTAGAAATTGAAATTCTTTTTTTTAAAAAAAATGACCAATTGGACTGCTAGGTTCTATTTCAGCATGTCAAGAGTTTGCAAGTGATTACTTTTACCCTCATAACAAGAAAAAAGACTCATTAACAACCTGTGATATGAAGTTGACACAACCTTCCTTGCTGAAAATGAAGATGACTTGAAGCACTTCACAATGAAGGTAAATGACTACAGCTTTCAGTACAGATTATACCTGAATGTGAAAAAATGAAAATCCTCACAACTGGGCCCATAAACAGCATCAGGATAAATGGTGATGAACTTGAAGTTGTCAAGAATTTCATTCCATTTGGATCCACAATAAATGCCCATGGAAGCAGCAGTCAAGAAATTAGACACACACACACACACACACACACAAAACCAAACCCACTGCCATAGAGGGGTATCCAACTCATGCGACCCCTCCTTGGGTTTCTGAGGCAGTATCACTATGGAAGTAGATTGCCCAACCTTCCTTCCGAGGAGTGGCTGGTGGGTTTGAACCGCCAGCCTTCTGGTTAGCAGTCAAATGCCATAGGCAATATGTCACCAGAGCTCCTTATTAAATGAAACATTGCATTGGAAAAGTCTCCTGCAAAAGATCTCTTTAAAATTTTAAAAAGCACACTTGTCACTTTGATAACTAAGGCATGCCTGACTCAAGCTATGGTCTTTCAATTGCCTTTTATACATATGAAAACTGGAAAATGAACAAAGAAAATCGAAGGAAAATTGATGCATTTGAATTGTGGATTAATGAAGAATATTGATCATACCATGGGCTGCCAGAAGAACAAACAATTTTTCTTGGAGGAAGTATAGCTGGAGGACATAGAGTGTGGTAGAGAGTCAGCAAAGAAGAAGGAGACCCTCACTGAGATGGACTGCAACAAGGGGCTCAAACATAGCAATGATTGTAAGGCTAGCATAGAAAAGACAACATTTTATTCTGTTATACATAAAGTCACTTCAAGTTGGAAACAACTCCATGGCACCTGATAACAATAATACCTTATTGAGAAAAAGTAGAAATTACACATGGCAAAAAAAAAAATTTCAAATGATACTTAATTTATAAAATTGTATTAATTTGAACAATTTAAATTTCTGTCAAAATTATGTATCTCCCATTTTTCTGCTATTTCATGTTATAAAATCCATTAAATTTATGACTGTCCCACAGAGATCTAATTTGGTCAAGAATAAAGAATGACCAAAAATGTTGACAGATATTTAACCAAAAATTCTTAAAGATTAATAAATGTCTTAAGGGGTTTCCTATTTCTTGTATCTCATTGAAAAATTGATGTGTCACAAAAATCAGTCCGATTCCAACACACTAACAAAGAGAACTCTCAAAAGGAAATCAGGAAAGCAATACCATTTACTATAACCACCCAAAAGGTGAAGTATTTAGGAATAAATCTCACCAGAGACACAGAAGACCTATACAAAGAAAACTATAAAACACTACTACAAGAAACCCAAAGAGATCCACATAAATGAAAGAACATACCATGCACGTTGAAAGGAAGTCTTAACATCAAGAAAATGTCAATATTACCTAAGTGATCTACAGATATAATGCAATCCCAATCCAGATTCCATCATCTTTCTTTAAAGAGATGAAAACAGTCTTTGAAATCATTAGATGAAATCACTAACTTGATATGGAAAGGAAAGAGACTTCAGATAAGTAAAGCACTGCTAAAGAAGAACATAGGAGCTCTGGTAGCATAGTGCCTAAGGCACTTGACTGCTAACCAGAAGGCTGGCGGTTCAAACCCTCCAGCCACTCCTCGGAAGGAAGGTTGGGCATTCCTATTTCCGTAGTGATACTGTCTTGGAAACCCAAGGAGGGGTCGCTATGAGTCGGGGCCGACTCGATGGCAAATAACAACAGCAACAACAAAGAAGAACAAAGTAGGAGCTCACAGTCTTCAATCTCAAAACCTACAGTACAGCTACTGTAGCCAGAACAGTCAGATATTGATACAATGATAGACACATAGACCAATAGAACAGAATTGAGAACCCAAAAGTAAATCCATCCACCTATGAACAGCTGATATTTGACAAAGAGCCAAAACTCACTAAATAAGGAAGAGATAATCTCTTTACTAAATGGTGCTGGTAAAACTGGATATACATTTGCAGAAAGATGAAACGTATCTCACACCATACACCAAAGCAAACCCAAATTGGATCCAAGACCAGAATGTAAAGCCTAAAACCATAAAGTTCATCAAAGAAAAAATAGAGACAAACTCAAGGCCCCTAATTCAGGGCAGAAATACACTATCAAACATAACTAAAAATGCAGAACAACCAGAAGACAAAATAGATGACTGTTGTTAGGTGCTGTCAAATCATCTCCCACTCATAGTGACCTTATGTACAACAGAATGAAACACTGCCCAGTCCTGTGTCAGCCTCACGATCCCTGCTATGCCTGAGATCATTGTTGCAGCCACTGTATCAATCCATCTTGTTAAGGGCCTTCCCTTTTTTCGTTGACTCTTCTGACAATATGACCAAAGTAGATGAGATGAAATCTGGCCATTCTTGCTTGCAAGGAGCATTCCAGCTGCACTTCTTCCAGGACAGATTTGTTAGTTTTTTTTAACAGCCCACAGTACTTTCAGCATTCTTGGCCAACACCGCAACTCAAAAGCATCAACTCTTCTTTCATCTTCTTTATGCATTGTCCAGCTCTCACATGCATATGAGGTGTTGAGAATACCATGGCTTGTGTTAGGCGCACCTTAGTCTTCAAGGAGACATCACTGCTCTTCAGCACTTGAAAGAGGTCTTTTGCAACAGATTGGCCCAGGGAAATAGGTCATCTGATGTCTTGACTGTTGCTTCCATTGGTGTTGACTGTG